ATGAAGTAAAACCGTTTTTGTGAGTGCTGAGCTGTGCCTGGGAGCTGCAGGGCTGTGGTGCAGCCTTACAGCAGGTGGCAGCTCCTCTCCGTTGATCCCAGCTCAGGGATGCCCCTCCAAGCCCTCTGGGACGTTTCCTGTGAGATGCAAATGCCATCAGCCAAATGCCTCATGCCAAGAGAGCGGGCTCCCCTCTTCATCTCTCAATTAAAGATTTCTTCTTGGCTGTTGGAGGTAAGGGCTCCATTTAAACCCACTGCCTGCATCTAGAAGTTTAATTAAATCTCAGAATAATGAGTTCCCATTAATCACACCTCTAGGAAAAGTTAAATTATAGAATATGAGCCTGGCTCCAGGTCAGCCCCTCACACCTGGTAGCATCCAACCACAGGAAATAATCACAGGGAGGCAACCTCTCATTCCTTCCATCTTCCAAGATTTGGTGGGTATGAACTCTTTATAAAAGTGCATTAAAGCCAGGAAAACTCCAAGTGCTTTATATGTCTTAAAAAGTAAAATTACCTTGAAGTTTCATTTTAAGGTATAACATCTTTCAAGTATAACACCTTTTCAACTATAACATCTTTCATCTTACACTATATATAAGGAATAATATTTTTCAACTGTAGCTCTGTTCTTAATAAGAGACTAGAACAAAAAGAGGTTGTGCTGTCTTTCCCTCCATGTTTTATTTGTTCATCAGATAAATGAGTTTCTCCTGAAAAGAAAACTCTAAATGAAAAAAAAAGTACTATGTTTTTCAGATTAATAATTTAGGAGAGGAAAAAAAAGGAAAAAAATTAAAAACCCTTTCTATTTCCATTAACATTTTCCTTCAAGGTTTTGAGAACTTGAAGGGAGATTACGCTTCATCCCTGGAGCTGCTCTAGCAATGCTGGCACTCAGAGCAGTGTTTAATTGACATGGTGGTGCTCATCTCTCCCAGTTCAGACCCTCAGATCCCCACTAGCGACCACCTCTCTTCACTAACCAAGATGTTCCAATCAGCCCTTCAGAAATGTTTGACTTCTCTGTGGAGGCATCTCCTTGCTCTCCACAGCTCAGGAGCACAATCCACCCCTTGTGCCAGATTTCTGTCACCCAAAATTCCAACCACCAGAGGTAACTCTTACCTTGGAGAGGATTTGGCAAGCAGCAGCGGAGACCAATGAGAAGGCCAATAACCATCCCAGCCCACCCTCCATCAGTCATCTACACAAAGGCTTAAAATGAGTCTCAATTTCCTTCCTTCTCTTACCAAACAAGTCATTAAGAGGCTTTAATTAAAATCTTGACTTCCAGACTGCCTTCTCCTGTGCAGAAATGCCTACACGTGGTTTAGCAATCCACAACAGTTTGAAGCCATCATTCCCACCTCCAATACCAATGATACTGGAGTGATCATGTATCAGATACCTGTGATCATCAACAACAGAGCTGGAAGTGCCACGGGGTGCCTGCCTGGGCAATGAAATGCCAGTGAGCCCTACCTTGGTCTGCCACAGCTTCAATATTCACTTTGAGCTCGTTTGCCATGAAGCCAATGACTGAGAAGATGACAAAGCCTGCAAATATGCTTGTGGCACTGTTGGTACACGTCACTATCAGAGTGTCCCTGCAAGGAAAGCACAAAGAGCCTGTTGGGATACACACAGGGAAGGTTTTGTGTATGTATTTGTATTTCAGGAGTTTCTCATCAGCACACACAGCTTGTGGGGGTGCTGGTGAAGGCACATTTTACACTCCTCAGGAATCAGCTCTGCAAGCTTCCATCACCCACGGGCTGTGCAGGAACCACAGGCCCAGCACATCTGCCCTTGGCTCTCTGAAGAACAGGGACAGCCGTGGTGTCTTGATTTCTAACACATTTTTTAGCTCTTTGCCTCACAGGACATCTGCTCTCCACATTGGGTACGGACTAACCACTGCTGCCCAGGTGAGAGGATTTTTGTCTTGTCCTTCTTGTGCTTATACACAAAATTCCAGGGTTAGCTTTCTGTACATTGCAGAGCTTGCTCAATGACCTTCCTGTATGTACAGGGAGGATCCCTTGGTCCCTTTTTCCATGGTTGTTATTATCAAAGGAACCTCAAGAAATCTACAGCTGAGCATCTCACTATGCTGGGTATGTCAAGGCTTGACAGCAAACCAGCCCTCGTGAGCCCCATCCGTAGTTATTGCATTCTTAGGGATGTAATGGGATCTTTCAATAGGATTTCTATAGGACTTTTTTCAATAGGATTTTTCTTTAAACAGTATGCATGTCCAGAGAACTTCCCCATAAAACTACTACATCTTCAGAAAAACAAATCCCTCACTTTAAATGTTTAGGGGGTTTATGTTGGCTAGAATTGTTTATTCCTACTGGTATTGCTTTGTCAGGAAGAGAATGAAACACAACTTGAGAAGCTGTCAAAGAACCTCACTGAGCTGGCAAACTCCTAGAACATCCAACAGAGCATGTTTAAACAGGAATTATTTGGTTAATTCTTTGGCTCTACAGAAAACAAAAATGACAGTGTGCTGTTTGGAATCATCATGTGTTAACCTTCCAAAACCTAGATAGGTTTGAAATATTTCAGGTATTCATTATGAAGTCAATTTATGTAAATTTACTGCAATTATAGATTTTGGACTATGTTTAAAATCAATGTGTAACTGAAAATTACAATTGATGTATTAAAATGTAATGAATATAGAAATTGAAAAAGAAAATAGTCATACTGCATTTCAATATTCAAGGTTTTGTTGTAAAATTTAAAATATTGGGAGTAACTAAGCTTTTCTAATTATTTCTGCTTTGGTCTCTCATATCGCTCCATAACAGGTAAAGCATCTATTTGGTATTAGAACTGTGATATTTTTATACTTCATTACCATGTATTCGTTTCAAAATTTTCATTAAGATCTTCCAAACTCCACAAAAGATTGTTAAGTTTGTGCAGAAAGGTAGCATGTTGCTTCTCCATTTTTCCCCCTGATATTCTGATTGCAATTATTCATTAAAAAAAAAAAAAAAAAGAAGGCTCAGCAATAGCATTTTCAAAAATGAACCCAAGGATTGGTGGGTGGGAGTTACTGTGTATGCAACATTGTGAGCTTTCATCCATATTTTGGGATAATTTCATTCAATTACTTTTGAGCACTAGTAAAATTTTTTTTTTTTAATTTCTTTTCAATATCCTCATCTACATTTCTTTTTTAAGTTAAGTATTCTGTACTTAGAAGCCATAGGAGGTGGCAGTGGAAATCCCAAGGAGAGTTTGCTTTGAAGTCCTGGCTGGGGAGAGTTTTTGGGCATCTCCTGGGGGAGTCCCTGTGCACGCTGCTGTCCTGAATCTGCACCTCTGGCACTGCAAGGATTGGCAAAGCTTTGCTCCAGACTGACTGTAAACACTGTAAAACAGCAGGGAAGCACTCCACTAGTGCCACTTGCTGTTGGGTTTTCCAGATGCAGACATTTTATCCAGCAGGCTTTTGTATGAAAAATTATACACTATGAGTTTTTCCCATGTAAAAACAGCTCTCAAAGAAGTGATTTTAGATTTCATAGCATGAAATAACCTTTTGCATGTAATTGGAAAAACTGGAAAAAGAAAGAACATTTAGGAGATGTAGGAATCCCATCAATGGAAGTTGCAAACTGAAGTCCTGCATGTTTCACTCTGCTGATGGGCAGTCCTTCAGCAGAGCTGCCAAGTGATTCTGTCTCATTTTCCTGACACATCCCAGGCTGCCCTTCAGCCTCAGCCTCCTGATTCTCAAAGTTTTATTATTAACAAAATGATTCTCTAAAGTTCCTGAGCCAGCAGGAACTCTAATAAACCTAAATGATCACCTTGAGAATAGTAGATTAGGATCTGGGGAGTGGAAAAAATACACCAAAATGGTTAAATGTAAACAAAACGCACACACGCACACACACAAGAAATAGGAAAGAAAGGAAACAGAAGAGAGGAAAAGAGAAAAAATACCAGAGAGGAAAAAAGGACAAAAAGACAGCAGGGGAAAAAAAAGACAAGGGAGAAAAAGACAAGAAATAAGGGTCTTGCAAACCAGATTTCTGGAAGATGAAGGATAACTGGTTTTGGACAAACCTGCTCAATAACACAGATGTATTTCACTCTTACACACCTGTAGCAGTTATTGTGGAATTTGTTGTATGAAGAGAGGGTAATTAGACCTCCCCATGCTGCAGATAAGGAGAAGAAAATCTGAGTGGCAGCATCCTTCCAAACCTGAAAGGAAAGAAAATGGAAGAGTGTTAGACCAATGGATGTCAATGGAATATTTAAAAGCAAAATCCTGCCACTAAATACATCAGGCTCATTTGATAAGGAGCACTGTTCTTGTTGAGTCCATGTGAAAGGACACTATAAACCTTGCTATACATGGGAGGCACAAATATAAAACCCATATTGTTTCATACTTATCAGTTCAAATACATTCAGAAACAACAAACACAAGCCAAGAGGGAAAACCTGCATCAGATACTGATGTTTTCCTAACAGTGACCCTAAATAACACTTCACCCATGCAAGAGGAAGAACAAGTTTCCACAGATGACAACACCACTTCTGCACATGGAAAATGCTTGCAGCAGACCCCAAGAGGTCTGGGATTTATTATATACAACATTATTATTAATATTATTATTGTTGTTGTTGTTGTTGTTGTGCTTGTTGTTGTTGTTACTATTACTATTTTACATATGTATTATATATTATTGTATATTATATTATATTATATTATAGCATAGTATAGTATAATATAATTATTATATTATTGTATAATTATATTGTATAATAATACATATCATAGATCTGAAATATATATCATAATATATAATACATTACTTATCAGCCCAGCAGCTGTGAGTGCAACAGCAAACCCACCATAGCATCGATGAGCTTCTCCCACTTGGGTGTGATGAAGTACCAGATGCCATCGCCAGCTCCAGGCAGAGTCACTCCCCTTATGAGCAGGATGATGAGGACCACGTAGGGGAACGTGGCTGTGAAGTACACAACCTGCACGGGGCAGAGAAGAGGTTACTGAGAGAGTAAAAAGTGAGGAGGGGAAATGGAAATGCCGCTGTTGCCAGAAGAAGGCAATTACTCAATCTCAGGGACAGCACTCAGGGGATAAACTAAGAAAACAGGGTTATTTCCCTGGAAATCTGAAATTTTGCAGCTCTTCTTGCTGCTGGGAGCAGGAATAACATCAATAATAGTGGTAAGAGCTGGAATTCCAGACAGAGAAGGGAAGAGGATTCCTCTCTCCATCTGGAGAGGGACCGTAGGAATTTAAAGCTAAAGGAAAATCCCACTTTTGATCATTTCCCAGAGGGAGCTATCCCATTTCAGTGGAAATTAAATGAGACATGCCATTCAGTAACACATTTCTGTAGTTTTCTTCTATATTTTCCTGTATTTAACAACAACCAAAAAAAATCCTAAATCGTGTTTATTACTGTTTGTACCTCTTAATTACATATCACCAAGGAGTCAGCATTTTTCTCTCTGACATCAGTGTCAGTATTTTTCTTGACCACAAAGAGTCACTTAAAGAAACAACCATTGCCACCCATATTATTATCCAAACCCATATTATTATCCAGTCTCTTGCCTTTCATGAAATATTTTTTCCTATCCCACTAGGGTAAGGGGGGAAAAAACCATCAACTTTCCCCTGGCACTCTGCATCCCTGGATTTTCTGTTAATTGCCAGGTGATCTCCCAAGAGATGAAATCAGATTCTAAAAGCAAAGGGATGGCTTCCAACTCTGGGACCAGCTCCAGAAAATTATTCCCATCTCCATTTCCACTGTCTTTATCCCAGGAAATACCCACTTATGTTGATCACACACACACACCCACACGGAGCTTCTTTAAAAAGTTCAGTTCTGGTTTTCAAATATGTTACTTAGCATCCTAATTTACATCCCAATTTCCTGGATTCCAGTGAAACGAGAGATGAGTGCAGAATTTTTATGAAGAAATTAATAAATCATTCCCATGCAGAATAGGGAAGGCTGGAAAGTACCATTTGTGCCATCCCACTGCTTAGTGCAGCTGAAGAGTTCATTTTAAATTTATTGAAGGTTAGAGAAAAAATATCAAACAAAAATAGTTTCTGTTTTGACTGTAAAGGAAAAGACAGAGAGGAAAAAGGCATTTCAATTAATACTTAGTCATTTACTGAAATTATTTTCGGTAATTCACCCCTTAAATGAGAGTGTGAGTCCCTAAAACCCAGCACCCTGCTTTCCTGTGAGTGTACAGTCACAAACATTGTTCTTACTTTTCCTGATGATTTGATTCCTTTAGCAAGGGAGGCATAAACAATCACCCAGGCTAGGAAAAGAGATAATGCCAAGGGCCATCTAATCTCACCAGGATATTCAATCCCTGCTGAAATCTTCAATACAAAGTACCTAAGAATGAGAAGGAAAAAAAAAGAAATTAAAAAATTTTGGAAAAAAAAAAAATAATGGAAGCAACCACAGGCAGCAACTCAGTGCAAATTCCTTTTTTGTTCTGCCTCAGTGTCCTCAGCAGTTTCTCTAGATGGTTCCAGTGATTCTCTCCATGTATTATTTTATTTATCTGCATTGCAGCAGTAGATAAAACTGCCGGGCATGGGCCAACACCCCAGCTGTGCTAAGCACCACAGGAGCAGAAAACAAGTAATCCAGCATTTCCATTCAGCTCTCATCATTCATAAGCACCAAAAAAAAGAGCATCATTTGCTGCCCTTCACTACTGCATTTCTGGTTTTCCAAGCCGTGTTCCAGTGGATTTTACAGAAAGAGCAACGTAATTTTTCTGAACAAAGAAAGATCTTACTTGAAGTATTCTTCACTCCCACTGACAAACGTCTTGTTTCCTTCCCTGGTGAAGTTAACCATGGTTAGATTTGGATAGGCACTCATACAGAAAGTAGAGTTCTTGATTTGTATTTTTGGGTGGTCGCCAATGATGCAGGAGTCTAGGAAGAAATGAGGTGAGGGAACAGAAAAATAAAGCCACAGATTTGTTGTTGTTGTTGTAAAACGACAAGAATGCATTAGATCACACCTAATTACTTGAGCTTTTGTTCAGTTGTGACACCTTTTCCAAAAGGTCGTTAACTAGATTAACTTCCTTTCGTTTTCATGCCATCGTGTGTTTGGGACCGTTTGCAGAAACGATTTTTGTTTTTCGTTTAAGAGAAGCTTCTCTAAAGACAAATAATTCGTCTTTAGCAGGCACTCCAGGCTGCTAGCTGTGGCGTTTTGTTGCCTAGTTTTTTTCCTCTGGGGGAAAAAAAAATCGGCATTTTTAAAGCATTTAAATTAACAAGTCTAATCTATGCTCAGTAAGGAGAATTTTAAATATAAGCAAAGGGAAGAGCCCATGGGACACAGATCACACGGACCGTTGTTCCCCAGGGCCATCCGCAGTCTCCTCTGGCATCTCCCAGGGCCGCAGCTGAGCTGCAGAAGCCTCTGGAAAACACCACGGCCACGAATTTCCAAACCAAACCAAACCCGACACCAAAAGGAGAGTACGAGCGCGTCCCGCCTTACCCAGCAGAAGTTTGTTTTTGTCCTTGCAGTCGGGCGTGTTCCAGGGGTTGCTGCAGGAGGCCCAGGGCAGCACGGGCACGAAGGAGGCGAACAGGTAGAAGAGGGTGTAGCAGAGGATGATGTTGTAGTAAATGGCTATCAGCACCGAGATGATCAGCATGGCGATGCCGCAGCCTGCGGACACACGGGGCGACAGCACGGAAAGCCATCAACGCGGGCGGCT